TTACCCCATCACACCTACATTTACCTACACATTACGCCTATTAGAAGTAATGTTAGTCTGATAAAGGCAAAACCAATAGGCTGATGATTTTTTTATATGCATCTATGTCTTAACATAACTAAAACCACTCTTTTCAAAGAAAAAAATGGCAAAGCAGCAGCTTTTTTCATTAGACTACTACACAGATTGTTCCTCAGATCCAAAAATCAAACAATAAAGCACTTTAAATAAAAAAAACAAAAACAAAAAAACAACACCACCATTGCTAGTGCATTGTGCAATGTGTGCCATGCATATTTTAATCTCATATTCCAAACAGCATTTCACTATGGTAATGACTGCTTCACATGTGAAGAATGAAAATTATTTGTGCTATGTATTATGATGACCTTTAACAGATGAACGCTCAAAACCGCCTTGAGTATAATTTGAAGAAGCACGTAAGCTGCACTTTTGTTCGTTAAGTTGTTTGTATGTGCCTTTTCTTTTGGTTTAGCAGAATTGTTGTTATGCAGGTTTAAAAGTATGCAGCAAGCCTAATCTCCCCTGAAGCGACAGGATCACTAATCCTGTTTGACTGGCAGATGATATGTGGGGAAGTACAAAGCAGAAAACAACACCGACATTGACGCAACACTTCAAATAAAAGTTGTGCATACTGAGAACAAGTGAGGCTTAATTATTTATTAGTTAATTAATGTCTGATGTAAAATTCAGCCAAAATATATCATGAAACGTTTCAGTGCTTTAAGATACTTAAGAATGATCTGCTGATAAGTCAGACAAACACAATCTCAAAATTACGGTATAATCTGCTCCACTGTCTGTGAAGCGAAATAGGATATTTAAACTGATTCAGATATTATACAACTGGCAGGCTTTGTGTAGAAACTATGAAGTAGAAAATGGATCACTAAGCACAATACTGTGTTGAGATGAGCTTACTGCAACACCTGATCCCAGCTCTACACATAAATGATTTTACACTCGTATATTACTCATGTTAATATGCAGTCACTCGAAAGAATCCCATATAACTTTGTGCAAAAGTCTGGAGCCGCCCTTTATTTCTTCATAGAGCCAGACTTTGTAGCAATTTTTTTTTATTTAATAGTCTTGAGAAATAGTATTCCAGGGATTCTAGATGTCTTCCAGAGTTTTTCGTTGAACACTGACAGACACTTGACGCTGACTTTTGAGTCATTGGTGCATTAAAAAAACGGCTTCTACACATACCAGACAACTTAGCAAAAAAGACTTGTACTTGCACTACAAAAACAGCTCATTTGGCACCATTTCTTTATCTGAATCTATGACAAAGCCCAAGGATACAAATAAATAGGACACGGCCCTGAAAAATAAGGGCATTAGACTACATGTCCTCGGGGGGTAGAATGCTGTAGACTTTTGCTTACGCTTGCCTGGGAGAAAGTAGATAACAGGGGACCATCTTCTAGTGGAAAGTTACTGAAAACACTGTTGTTTAGACTAGAGAGGGACCAGCAGATTGACTGTTTGATTGTAATTGATTGTTTATTCCGAGAAGAAAAACAGGAATGGGATATAACACTGTTTTATATCCCATTCCTGATATAAAACATTCTCTAACACTGAGAGAGAGAAAGAATGTGGATGTTTAGGTTTTATGACTTTGGAGAAATGGTCAGACACTTCGAGATTTGCCGGATACCCTCCCGTGCACATGTCCCGTCCGGAAGTTTGTAATGCTCAAAGTGTCTATTGAATAAAGAGATTGTTGATTGAGCATTAAACACCAAGTGTTGTTTTTCCTTTAGCCCAAAGATCAAAGAATAGGGACATTCAACAAGACCAAGCAAACTGAAAGACTTCCAAGCGATGCTTGTTATTATTTGGCTACCAGTATGGTGTTTCAACACCTCAGTACAAACCTGTTGAGCCATCTCATCAACTTTAAGAAATCTAACAAATGGGGGTTGTCACATAAGGTGTGAGTCAGTAACACTTTGGAAAACATGCAGATAATAGAAGGGGACTGAATAACTTTACATCTCATATGCTTTTCATTCTGGGTAAGTTTCTTTTTATAGTACAATAATAGAGAGCAGTCGTTATTGTTTTTCCTTGTATGATGTCCAAGAAAAAGGCTTTGCTTGCTTTTTTTGTACATTTTGTACAGCATTTAAATTTAGTAGAGAAAGCAAAAAGACAACGGATGAATACTGAGGGTGCAGACTTTAGTCAGATTCAGGAGAATAGCATTTTAGTGAGAACATGCTCCAAGCTAAAATGTGATTGACTCATCAAATGCAAATGCCCATCATGCAAGAACTATTAAAAAACAGCAGCTTTAAGTCTCGGTTCCAAAAGGTTAACTGACTTTTTTGTATAGTAACTTTTTTTGTTACTATTAAAATGGCTGTGCTTTTATTTTTGTTAAAAAATTACAATATTAAAGTGAACTGCTATTGAAATTGTATACAAGATCCTAACAACTGCAACAGCTGTCTTGTTTATCGGCACTTGAGAGACAAGTAAAACCGGAAACACCAAAAAGAAAACACATAAACTGATTCCCAGCACTCACTGTGACTGTTGCTGTTGTTCTATTTTGAAACATACTGACTCATTGACTTCTTGTTAGTCGATGTTAGTCTTATTTTGTTCATCATTTAAAAATGTAAAAATCATAACTTACTGTTATTGACAAATAGTAGCAAACGTTTTGTTTCCTTAAACAGAAAACAAAGAAACATCACAGTGCATGTGTGTGTGTTTCATAGTAACGCACAGTGATTTTCTTGTACAAGTTACAGATAGATAGATGCACAGATAGACAGACAGGCTGGAGACAGAAAAAAGGGAGTGTCTATAAATAAAACCTGTTGGCATGACATAGCAAGAGAGGCGCCTGTGATGTGTACAGTGGAAGAAACAGCTTCTTCAGCAGGGAAAATAAAGGCAACAAGATTTAAAGGGAACACATAGGGAGGTGGACTGTTTGAAGGAAAGAAAGAAATGGTGAATGGCCTGTATTTGTATAGCGCTTTTACTAGTCCCTAAGGACCCCAAAGCGTTTTGCACATCCAGTCATCCACCCATTCACACACTGGTGATGGCAACATTGTAGCCACAGCCACCCTGGGGCGCACTGACCGAAATATTTTTCTTTTATTGTGAGATGGCTTTTTAAATACCCATTTTCTGTATTTTTGGATAGTCTGCATTTAAAACTACTCAAGGGAGACATGATAAGAATAACAACATTTAATCTTATTAAAAAATACAAATATAAAACTAACCCCCTTATAGCGACAAATTGGCTACTGAGTCTTCTTTTTTTTTAAACAAACAAAAACAAAACAGGATTTAACATGTTCATTTCAGCTGTAAAGTTGGCCATTTTTTATCATGGGAGTCCATGGTGCCTGATTAACTACCTTGCAAGAATGAAATCACCATTGGAGATTTTAAACGCGCATTCAATCGACCAGAAGGTCAACCACATACTCAGGGGTGCTTTCTATTTAACATTCACTACTAACAACTCACCAGTAAGCCTGCCCAATGTGGAGGGCCACGAGTGGCAAATTAATTAAATAAATATATAATTAAATAATCCATTAAATGTGTCATTATTAAGATACATACATGTCTATTCATTTCATTTAAAACATCAGTGTACTTATTTGAAATTGTATTTATTTGATAGCACATTTTTGGGGTAGCTGTAGCTCGTGTGATAGAGCAGGTCACCTACTAACTGGAAGGTTGGTGGTTTAAATCCCTGTCTGCTCCAGTCTCCAGTCATCTGGAGTGTGAATGTTAGGTAGAAAGAACTTAAAAAGTGCTTGTAATGAATGAGACAAGGTGTGTAAAGCTCTTTGAGTGCTCAGATAGAGTAGAAATACACTATATCAGAACCAGTCCATTTAATGATATATTTCATTAATTCATTTTAGCACTGGAGGCCGTGCGGCCTACATTTGTACATAATAATTACAGGCTGGCAAAGCTATAGGCCAAGTCTTGTTTTCTGCATACCACACAATGTGATTTTAATTATGGGCCAACTTCTCACCTACTTAATTTTATTAATAATCAAATCGAACCAAATCTATTTTTCAAGTGCCTTTCACTTGTTTAAACAGTTAAGCGTGTTTCAAAGTTTTACAAAGCACATTCGAGGACTGAAACAGCGTCAGTTTGGGGGATGGGGGGGGGGGGGGGTTACGCATTCAATGCGTAAAAAAATATAGCGCAGTCGGCTTAGATCGGCGATAATAACAGTAAGCTTAAGACGCTTTATATTGTAAAGTAAGGACCCTACAATAATACTACTAATTTTAAAGGCATTAGTGGGTTTGGAGGACATTTTTCTAACGCGTAATTGACCAAAGTGTTCGAAAAGTTAAAAAAAAATAAAGCTGGACGATCACAGGGCAGCTTTTGAGACTAGCTAGTCCCAAAAGTCCATGTTTACCGAGGCAGCACTTTGTCAGCCTGTGAGGGTCTGTGGCTGCTCACCAGGTACGCCAAAGGGGGGGCGGTATGAAAAGAAAAAAAAGAAGGCTTGGACACCGCTAGCATAATGGACAGGTTTTTGACGGGGCTTCCACACAAACGCAAAGCAGGAGATGAAGCATCGCCAAATGTGTTTCCAAACCAACTTCCTTCCAAGCCAAAGACTAGAAAATATGGTGAAGCATATCTTCCCCTTGGCTTCACCTGCACAAGTGCCAAAGTAGGTCTCCCCTGCAGAATTGCTTTTCCCCTGCATCGGGAGCAGCGCTGGGCTGTCCAAATCACGGACAAACAGTATCCCACAATTGTTTATGTTTTTGAACCTATTTTGCACAGAGAGGCATTTAAAAAATGTATTGATAGCAATTTTGAATATTATTACACAGGAAAAAAACATTTTTCTTGTGAAACAAAGCGGGACCTAGCAAAAAAAAAGTTTTGGAACCACTGAGGTACGCGCTATTAAACGAGGCTATTTTTAATTTGTGCTGACCGGAGGAACCGGAAGAGAAAACCGCAGGGATTAGTGTGTTTACAACTCCTAGCATCCTGGGTGCATCAACCTGCCATCAGACACATGCAATTTGCATTTGCAAGCTGGTGGGCTTAGCCTATCGTATAACAGCTTCTCTTTTTGCTTTCTTTCCTGGATTGTTGTTTAGGTGGTGGTGGACTCTTGTTGTTCTGGAACCGTCGCAGCGTCGGGCCACCCACCATCTGTAGAAGTGGGACAAGGGAACAGATGGCGCATCCAAGCCGGGCTGCAGGGTTGCTGACGCTGAGCGTTCGTGCAGAACTGGAGATCAGTATCAATCATTAAAATAAAGCACTGCCGCTGTATACAGCACAGTGCGTTTTTCAAGGTTACCAATGCCAATGTGGTTGCGATAGAAGCGAGGGTGGGGGGACTGGAAGCATCGTATGTCGACCAAATTGAGGCGCAACGATCGGGCGACGATTTGACCGCTGGCATCAACTTAATCCCTTCTGACGTGTCTCTGTCTCGGTGAACAATGGTTGACAATCGCTACGCCACAGCTCTGGTCATCGCCTGCGTGCTGAGCATCATAGCCACCGTGTATCTGTCGGTGGCAATCGGAACGCAGCACTGGTACCAGTACAGCAGCCCCACGGTGCGCGGAGAGGCCAACATTTCCGAGTTGCGCTCGCTGTACGAGGAGTTCATAGACGGAGAATTCGATGAGAAAACCTACAGCGACACGTTGTTCCGTCTTAACGGGACTGTGGGCCTCTGGTGGCGGTGTGTGCTTGTTCCTGCCAACGCTCACTGGTACAAAGAGCCAGGTATGTATATGTGCTGACGTCAGTAGCACAGTGTCCTTGTAGCTTTACGTGAAGTTGGATCATTCACGTCTCAGATGGTTTAAACTATACAGAGATGGCTTTTGCTGCTCTCTAATTGAGCATCTGGTCTCAGGCAGGTGTGGTATATTCCCAGGCCTCTCCTCTGTTTTCATCACATCTCTATGCAGAGCATTTTATTTTGTTTCCCACTACACAGACTTAGACAGGAAATCAATTCCAACCCTGTTCCTCCAATTATTCATTATAGGGTCACGTGGGGGGGCTTGACCCTGTGCCAGCTGTCACAGGGCAAGAGGCTGTGTGCATCCCAGACAGGTCTGCCTGTCCCCTGCAGGGCTGACACATACAAAAAAATTATTCATAGCTACAGCCAATTTAAAATCACCAGTTAACCCAACCCCAATAACTGCATGTTTTGGACTGTGGGAGGGAGCTGGCCTATCGGGAGAGAACACACCTAAGCACGGGGAGAACGTGCAAACTCCAAACAGAGTGGATTTTCGCTTTCTGGTGCTAACCACCACACCAACATGCCATTCAATTTTAACCACTGTTGCCAATTAGTTTGATCACTCAGTTTTTTTGATCACCAATTTCTACCTGGGCCTTACGATCACTTTCATTTGTAGGTGAAAAACCAACCGTACAGTAGGTATTTCCTGTCGTGCTTAACGCTATATTTCTTTTCATAATGTGAGAAAGTTTTCTCAGGGCTTTCACATTTCCTTTACATTTTGTGCGCATTTGTACAACCAGTTTCTCCACAGGTAGTACGAAACTCAATGTTTGAAATGAAAATTTAATTCAAATGCACAGTAAATGGAGTATAAACGGGAGCCTGATCTCTTGTAGGTGCCAAGATGGTGCTGGAGTGTCGAGGCTTCACTCTACCTCAACAGTTTACTCCAAAGTACAAAGAACCAGGGAACCACAACAGCGGGGAGGACATGGTGCGCACATGTAAGCTCAGCCACAAGTTTATGCTTTTTAAAATATGCAAAAACCACACTTTAGCTGTGAGAATATTCTATATTAGATTCAGCCTCTTGTCTAAGTAGTGCATTACTTACATCTGATGTTGAGTACTACATTAATCCCAGTCAGGGCAGAATCTTATCTCGCACATCCCTCTGTGTGTGCGCAGATCTGTGGAGGTGCCAGTTTCTGCTGCCGTTGGTGTCTCTGGGTCTAGTGGTGTTGGCAGGTCTGACTGGATTCTGTGCCTGTCTGTGCCGAAGCCTCACACCAACTCTTGGAATAGGAGTGCTTCACATGCTGGCTGGTAGGAGCAATGTTGAAATCCATACATGTTGTCAGACTGTGCAATTAAACATTTTAATAAGGGTTCAGGGATGTAAACTTTTACATCTGAAAGTAACTCTACAAACTTATTTAAATATAGTTCTCTCCATGGTTTGTTATTGCTTTTGTGAGGCATGAAAATCACAATGACATAATCTAGTCAGTGTCCATTTTTTTATGCACAGTCTGTGGTTATAGTGCATGTTGAGTCAATCTCACATTGTCATGACTGGGAACCAAGCAGATCTGTTGGCAAAGTGGACCTATCATGCACATTTTCAGCTTTTATTCTTGGTAACTAAAAGAAACTTGATGAAACATTCAAAATAATCTTTATTTTTCAGTTCAACCACCGTCTGAAACATACTGTTTGCATTAAATTTAACAAGCAGAGTGTTTCAAGCAGTCTGGAGCTCAAGCTTTTAGCTCACAGCGAATACTTTTCCATACGAGAAGAAGGTTTCCATTAATATTATTTCCTAATAGTCGAGCTTTTTCCACATTAACCAATCTAATGTGAAACAAGCAGTGATGCTGCAAAATGATAAATATACTATCTGGACGCTTAGCATTTGACTTATTACGAAGTGAATACCAAACTATAAGCACAAAAATTTCTACCTAAACATAAATTTGAAATCTGATAAGTGATTAAACCCTAACTAAGTGTGTCTGTACGCCATCCAGGTCTCTGCACCTTAGCCACAGTGTGCTGCTACCTGGCGGGGATGGACCTGCTCCACAGGGTGTCGATGCTACCCGACAAAGTGGACGGCTCTCTCGGCTGGTCGCTGTACCTGGTCCTCATTTCTTCACCTCTCCACATGATGGCTGCCGCCCTGCTAGTGTGGGCGGCGCGCAGCCATAGTCAGAACTACTACCGCATGACTGCCTACCGGGTGGCATAAACTGAGATTTAGCTCTGGATCTTAAGCCCTGTTTAGAGTCTGACACCAAGATTTGTTTTCTTAATGAGTTGTGGGGTTTTTTTCCTCTACGTGTTTTTGTCTCTCAAGGATTAAGAATTTTTGCATGTCCTGTACACTAATGACCCTTCTTGCTGCGTTAACAGATTTGATTTTTATCTCCTGGGGGATGGAAATGGTTTGCAAATCAGATTTACCAGAACAATATGTAGTATACGTGTGCTTCAGACTAACTTGAAACGAAGTAGAGAAGCATTAGCAGTGCCCTACTTTCATACAACATAAATTTTATCAAAATCTCCAAAGTGCAGGTCAGTCACATCGGAAAAGTAGATATATTGCGATTTATTTTCATAGTTTAGTTCTTTGGAGGCAGTGATAAGAAGGCATGACCCCGTGAACTGCATACCTGGTATCAGAGTGCCAGATAAATTTAAAAAAAAAATCTTGTTTGGAAGAAAAGTAAAAGCAAGTTCTTAAATTACAGTTTACACAGGTTTCATGTGTACTGACTTCAGTTTTCCTTCCTTCTCATCCCATCTTATCAGATTACAGAGATTTTGTGATATTGCTGTTCTTCCTGTTTGTCATAAGGGCACATGCGTACTGCACATTTTTAAACATCTTTGATCTGTTGAAAATTGAACAGGATTTAATTTTATCTTTTAAAAACGTCACAGTTGTTGTCATAGTTTTCTTCAGTCCAATATAAATCTTCCATTGTAAAAATATAATCAAGTCAACTGACGTATAATGGAAAATATTTTAACTTGCGCAATTTTTGTTGATTTTGTTGATGACGTATTTCGCAAAGGAAGTCAAATTTGTAGGGTTTTTTTAATTTAACCAAAAAAAAGCTGCACACTGACTACTGTTCCTTGATATGTGTGATTTTTATCATTTAAATGGCGATGACAGAAGGCACTTTAGTGATAAGTAAGCACACTTAGTAATAAAAGAAGTACTAGAGTCTGGGAAAAGTGTGTATTTACAGACCTCTGCTGGTGAAATTTTCTAGTCTGCCACACGTGATTGCAGCTGAATGTGATGACGTTCCTGTTCGTTGCACTTGAAGAATGTGGCCACAGGTTTGTTGTATTTACACAATGTTCCCATGACTAGAATTTAATTTACAATTCTGTTTCAAATCCTCTGTTGTTGTTGTTTTTTTACTTAAGTTTATTTATTTATTTATTTATTGTTTATGGTAGTTATTATGTTCAGACTGTGTGTATAATTTGTTTACTACACGATGTATGTATTGCATTGCTTTGTTTGCTTTTTGATCACATCATGTTGTGACTGATTTTTGTAGAAAAAAGTGAAAACCACAGTAGTGCTCATTTACTTTTTTTTTTTTTAGTTGAGCACATACATTCATGAAAGTAATTTTCTTAGTTCATATTTGGGTGTGTTTTGTTGTTTATTTGATCGATGTATGTCCCTCAGCTGACGGATTAATGTGCTGAAAAACAAACAAACTAACAAACAAATAAATTAATTTCAAACATATTCTGACCATTGCTGTAGTAATCAGTAGTCAATTTCTATATTTTTGAAATGTAAATATTAAAATAATTACATTTGGAGAGAAAAAATACCACTATTACCCACAAATTCATGATATCTGTTTGTGAAATATCACTGCTGATAAAGATTTATGAGCTTCATGAATATCTGAAATGATGCACTGTTCGTCTCATTATGAAACACATTGTATTTTACACATTCACCCTTTAAATACTGGAAACTCAATCCCTGAATGCACACTACCATGTGTTGTTTGTGAAAGAGTGCTTAATCCCCCTGTTATGAGCTGCAGCAGTTGATAACTATGTATTTAAATATCGTGTGTGAGTGTGAACAAGCATAACACATGTCACCATTTCAATAAAAAGTTTTGTAAAAACTGAATTCAGTCATCAGTCTCATGTGGTTAACATCTTTTGATGCAAATTCCTGCTCATCAGCTTGTTGCTCCTGCTCTGCCTGCACTCGGATTGCAGGAATCATCACCGTAGCCCAACTGTCGCAGAGTGAGTCACTGAGTACATCCTGGACGCGGCGCCAGCCTCTTGCACGGCTTCCTTTTTTCTTTTATATTTTGACTTTGCTTGTACAGCCAGTTTCTCCTCAGGAAATAGAAAATACACCGAGATTTTAAAAAAACGACAGCAACGTTTGAAATGAATGTAATTCATACAGTAAATGGAGTTTAATGTGCTTAAACACTGAAATAACTGATCTCTTGTAGGTGCCAAGATGGTGCTGGAGTGTCGAAGTTTCACTCTACTTCAACAGTTTACTCCAAAGTACAAAGAACCAGGGAACCACAACAGCGGGGAGGACATGCTGCACATATGTAACTTTAGCTATACTAGTACATTAATTACATGTGATGTTGAATAATTACCCCAGTCTATGCAGAAGTTTGTGACATGCAGAGGAAGGTACTTAAATGCCTCATTTACTAATAATCTCACATCTCCCTCTCTCTGTATGCGCAGACCTATGGAGGTGCCAGTTTCTGAGCAGGTCTGACTGGATTCTGACTTAGAATAGCAGTGGTTCATCTGCTTTCTGGTAAGCGCAATATTCAAATGTCAACAGACTATATTAGTAAACAGTTTACTAAGGCTTCAGGAATGTGACCTAGTACATCTAAAACAATGTTCCCTCTAATTTTTCATGTGTCTGAGCAAACACACAAACTCCCTGAGCGATCCCTTGGACCACTGTGAGCAACAGCAGACGTGTGCACTGTGGTCACGCCAGCATCGAATCCATCCAAGTTACCTGGTTTATTAAAATAATCAAATTACAGCATTTACATTTATGTTAGACTACTTTTAATTAAGTGCTTTAGCCCACTTACAATGAAAAAAAATCTTGTTCATGAACTGTGTAGTATGTTAACACTATTGGAAGTAAAAATATCTTGAACTCCAATTTTGAAAACACAACTTTCTTTTTTTTTCTTCCTATAAAGCTGTGACTTGTATTATGAGTTTGTGGTCTGAGAGAGAGTCCTGTAACTCTCTGTCTGCATAATACAGAATATAATGACCTATGTTGGGCAATTAATTATATAGTTGCTTCTTCAAAAAAGTAACTGAGTTTTGCAAACAACGAAGTTTATTTGCAGCTGTTTAACCTAAAAATGCAGCCAAGGCGTTTTTCTAGAATTTACAGAACAATCAGCTCTTCTGCATCAAATCTGATGCCACACAAATTATCTGTGTCACTCCAAAAAATACTTTCTGTCCACTATGAGATGAAGGAGAACAACAGCCTGATACCTGCAGGCCTGACAACAGGAGGTGTATCACTCCTGTAACACCTGTAACATTCAGCAGTCACCTCAATGTTCTGACACACACAACAAAACTATTGACTACACTGCACACTAACTACACAAGATTTGCGCTAAACGTCGCAAGTCACAAGTCTCTCACATCTCTAAACACTCCTAAACTTCCCCCCAACCAAAGTAATTTTTTGATTTTGGTTTGGTTTGGTTTTACGTGGCCTATCAACACAATTTAAAAACTGGGATTAAGTCCACACTTTTTCCGTCAATTGTTCCGTCTGTCCTGCTCACATCTTCCATGGTTGTTCATGTTGTCATTAATGTGGCTTCACTCCACATCAGCCACGCTGCTTTGCTAGCTAAAACACCGGTGTCGGCACATAAGGACGCTGTCATAGCCTGTCAGCGACGTTGATTAGCTGCGAATGTGACTCGCATTATTGGCTGGACTATGGAATAAGGTGGCATCATTCTAATCCCATACGGGAGCAGCCAGTCACTGACTAACACTGCAAAACAGAATTGTTAACGTATTTATTTTAATTTCAGTTCAGGTTAGATTTCATTTCTGTGCGCAGAGACCATGCCGCATGCGCAATTGCGCACGCGCAGCTTAGAGGGAACATTGATCTAAAATTAGGTTATTTATGTAAATGTAATTTCAGTTTGACAAATACTTTCAAAGTAATTATAACATTGCAAATTATAATTATATTTTGCTTTATACCTTTTTTTGGGGGCAAACAAAATACCCAGCCTATTTTATGTCACAGTGAATTATAGATTTGCCATGCTAACCGTGGCAGCTAACAATATCAATAGTCAAATGTCCATAGCTCCACAGAGTATGGTTCAGTCTGTTGATTTGTTTTACTTTTTAAAACAAAATGTCAAAAGGTCTGAAAACTATAATGACATAGCATGGTCACAGTGTCCATCTTTTATATACAGTTTGTGGTTGTACAGCATGTCACGATAGACGGGGAACAGAGCAGAGCCATTTTGAAAGTGGACCTATTGTACACATTTCAGCTTGTAGTAGCCATCTGTAAAAGAATATCTTGGCATGATTCACAGTTGAAACTAATCCTTATTTATTTAGTTCATCCACTTTCAGCTACTGGGCACACCCCGAGTATAACAAAAACGCACATGCTTTTTGTCAGCTGGGCCAGTTGTTTCGTAATGGGTTTTTTTTTACGTAGCTTCTTTGGAACAGACTGAAAGAATTTGGCCTCGGGAAGAACAAAAGAACAAAGGCAGTGACACTGATTACTGTCATTGCAGTATGTTCCCATGATTTCAGGGGAACATACTTTGCATACATTTCCGTAATTGTTTCACTCAAGTTATATTTACTCATTTAGAATTTATGCTAGTTTTTAGGTTCAGATTGTGGTATAATTTTACCCAGTGTACTTTTTTTGATCATATTTATCATCTTGTCACGGATTTTGTAGAAAAGGAGGCAAATACAGTAGTGCTCATTCACTAATTTGTTTTGCTGACCGCTTACATTCAAAAAGTAATTTTCTTGTGAATTGGTTTTTAATCTGGTGTTTATGTTGTTTATTTGATCTATATATGTTCCTCAGTTGACTTATTAATTTCAAGGAACCTGAAACAGTACAGTGACTGTACTTTAAAGGTCATGTTATTACAAGCTTCTTTGCACTTCATTTTGAACATATCCTGATCATCGCTGTAGTAATCGGTAGTGAATTTCTATTTTTTTAATTTAAATATTTAAAATAATTAAATTGCCTATGAATTCGTGCCATCTGTTTTTACACATTCAATTCTTACTAGAAACTTAATTCTTGAATGCACAGTGGCATGTCTGTGAAAGATAACGCATGCCATCATTTCAATGAAAGCTTTTGTAAAAATTTAATTCAGCCATCACTCTCGTGTTGGAAACGTCTTCACTCCTCTTCTTCTGATGCAAATCCCTGCTCATTAGCTTGTTGCTCCTGCTCCGTCTGCACCCGGATTGCAGGAATCGTGATGCGCCTCTTTCTTGCCAGGGAGAGAGCGATGCCCTTCTCGTAGTAAGCGCATTCGTTGATGAAGAAAGGATAGAGAGGTTCAGTGCCTTTATACCTCACTGTTTCTCCTGAGAACGTCTGGAACAGGGGGTCTTCAGGGTGGAGCAGGCAGAAGTCTCGGTCCTGTGAGGACAAGCAGATGGTTTAGGTGCTGAGCAACACCTGTCGGATTTAACAGGATTAACCATAAATACATAAAAGTGCCATAACAAAGCTCCAGTGGCTTAAAGTGCAATATCATTAAGTGATGCTAGGTGCTTATTTTTAAATGCAAATAAAAAATCATATGTCATATGTCAGGAGCTAAATTTAAGAAGTGCAGAACAGTTTAAAAATACAATATTCCAGACTGATAGTTATGCAACCATCCTATTCTCAGTAAACATCTCTACCAAAGCCTCCTCAGGTTGGTTGTGTTGACAAATTTAACGAAACTCCCAGACATTTCCAGCACATTTTTATTTTTACTTCAGCTTTTTTCTTATTTCAGTTTTCACTAAAGTTTCCTCAGTTGACTAAAGCTTAAAGCAGTTTAATCTATGTCGTCCACATTACACATTTCCCTTAAAAACCACAGTGTAAAGTATAATGGATAAAGACATTTATTTATTGCGTCTGCCTGTACAGCTGCTTCTGACATTTAGCAGTGTTAATCTTAAATAAATTGAACTGACTTGTTGTTTTTTTACTATCGAGGTTGGCATTGACCCAGTCAGCCTGCCTTTTAGCCACATGAATTAACTTAAAGGTGTTAATTTTTAATCCGGTCACCTTTGGCCATCCTTTTCCGTTTGGATTCCAAATAGGTGAAACAAAGATTTCAACTTAACACAAACCCTTGACAGGTATCATCTCTGGGACAAAGCTCCTTTAATAAAAAAGGCCTCACCTTGTGTTGTAATTGTTTATACTTTACAGTAAAAGAAAACGCACACTGACTGAATGAATCACTTCTGGACAGCATGTGTGGCGACAGGCTAAATATAAAACTTGATTCATTCTTGCACAAACAGCTTTTGAGTTCAGACTGTGATTATTTTTCTTGGGACAAAGGGCCTTTCTTCTTCTTCTTTGTTTGTGTTTTGTACATGTCTCGTACTTTATTGTTATAAAGTTTGTTTCTGATGTCATGTGCGCCTCTTCATACTTTACAGCCTCCCTGGTTATGTCTAACTTACATAATTGCTTGGCAGTAATTCAGTGTTTTGTTCCGAGGAGTTTTTTGCTTTTAAGTGAAGGTATCTCAGGCCGTACCTGGAGACAAGGATGAATGGCTGCTGTGATATTGCGGGTCTCGCTGTCTCTCGGGTAGTCGATGTGTTTAACCATGGTGAACACGTCCACAAATCCTCCCTCAAACACATTACCTGGTAATAAACAGAGAAGGTGGTTGAAACCAACTGAGAGCCTCAAAGATGCATTGTTTCAGCTCAGCCCGTAATATGTCTATAAAAATGTACCTGAGTTAAAGAGGCGGACCCAGTCAAGCATGTGCTGGACACCCACTTTCATTGCTGTATAGATGTTTGACCTCACCACGCCGTGAGGCTGAGGGCCGATCTCCATGGCTGCAGATCAAGGATTTAAATTGAGAGTTATCACGCACTAATGCCACTTTTGACTAGACTAGATTTATAAAAGCTGTAAAAACTTACCAAAGCCATGTTTTCCCAGTGAATCAAGGGAATAGGACTCTTTGTTGGACACATCAAAATGTAGGAATCTCATTGGTGTATCTGGCATCTCCCTCTAAAAAAACTCAAATTTTAGCTCACAAACATGCAGGGCGCAAAGATTTCACTAAACTAAGAAGCTGGTTTACTCACTTGCAGGTGTCTAAATATGTGCAGGCAGATCCAGTCACAGTCAGAGTATCCGATGAAGCACAGGCCCATGTTGGCAGTGGTGTTGTGGAGGTCGCAGACCAGATCCACTGCCTCCGGACTGCCCTTGGGTCCTAGCAGGGCGTTCAGCTCTCGGGACCTGATGATCTCATAGGGGGCCATGTCTGAGAAGGGACCACTGCGGGATAAAGAAAAATACAAAATAGCAGCACGCTCTTTGATTTTACAACTGACACCATGAGTGTTATCTCTGATTGTTGCCTTACTTGAGGGTGGCGTGGGTAAAGCAGCGGTTCAGATCAGTGTCTACGTATCGGCGACAATGCTGCATTGCCCGCGGGTTTGACAGCACCAGCAGCACCAACGCAGGCTTCGAGTCCTCCTCTTGCTCTTTCTTCATAACTTCTCTCTGCAGTTTCAGCAGCTCTCGCACCAAATACACACCGGACAGCTCATTGCCATGGGTACCTCCACACACGGCGACCCGGGGCAACCTTGGCAAAGGCACCATCTGGTCTACCTCCATCTGACTGAGAGCTGAGAGACTTTCCTGACTTATTGAACACTGTAAAGGGACAATTCCAGCTTAAAGGCACTGTACTGTAAATCAGCACTGAGATGCAAGACTCTTAAGGAGAAGCTTGATGTAAATCAGGGTGAACTGCCAGCTCAATATTCACAAATTATAGATGAATGAACGACAAGGAATAACACTGTACATTTTACCCAGTCTACCCCTCGCTGTTACCTTTCTCTTCCCTCTCCCCCTGCCGTTTACCCTCTTCCACCCTCTCCCAGGCTTTCATGCATTTTCACTGATTCAGCATTCCCATCCCTCCCTCTGTTCAGGCAGTTGCTGCCTGTTATACAAACTCTCACCGTTTCTCAACCACCTCCTGTCCACTGCACTGCACTGTACCACACTGTGTGGTAGGAAAGGGTGTGTCCCGAGTGTGATGGAGTGTGTCGGTCGCTTCCTGTAGTCACAGCATCAGTCAGGTTAGATGAGCTGAAAAGCCCCTCCCCAGCTTTCCCCGTATTCCCTGTTTCTCTTTGCCCCGTGTATAGGATGGTAGGTTCCAGTCTGCCTTTCAAAAAAAAAAAAACTGGCTAAAAATAAATCTGCTGGCATGACACAGCAAAGAGAGGTGCCTGTGATGTGTACAATAGAAGAAGCAACTCCTTTGGAAGCAAGCAGGAGATTTAAAGGGAACACACAGGGAGGCGGACTATTTATAGACAAGTACATATAAGAAGTCAAATAGATTTTCTATTATCGTCAGGTGACTTTTCAAATACATATTTTCTGTATTTCTTTCTATTTTGTAATAGTTTTTACTAATTGTAAAAGTAGCTCAATCAGAACTGCGCTTCAAAGTGTTTCGATCAATCAAATGGGAAGGGACAGATAATTGTCACGCTATAAATGTAATGGATAAATTTAAAGAAAAGACCTTTTGTTGGTGAAAGGTGATGAAAAGTGTAAGAAGTGTACATGAAAACTCCAAAAGCAGGAAAAGCCCCACAGGAGGCTTGTTTTTACCCCCTCTCACCAGCGCTACTATGAAAATATACCAGTTTTGTTAAGTGGTTCATTTAGTTTATTTTCTCAGAGGGCATTTAAAGTCCAGTAACACACATCCATTCTGAGGCAGGAAACGCCATCCTGTGGCTCATTTTGTGGTGAGTAGCACCCTCTAGTGGACAAACTATATAGCAGGATGCCTGTACAAAGCACAATTTTTCCATTCAAACATGATATTTATCAGATAATATACTCAGTGTTGACCTGTGAAATACACTAATCTGCTCCTATGACTTTAATTTTGAACCTTTACGTGTAATTTGCGTTGCCATTGTGTAGTATACATTGTGACTGAAATCCAGACTTTGAGCTTTAATTCAAGGGGTTTAGCAAAGTTTTCTTGTTTAGGAATTACAGCCTTACATATAAAACACAAAACGTTATATAGTAACCTGGTCAACCGACTGGCCAGCGATTTCATGGCCCAATGAAGTCTATTCCTGTATTATTTCTTTACAAATTAAACACATAAAAGATTTGGAGCTAAGTCCAAGTATTGAACTAGTGCTGGGTAGCTGTTCACTGGAACTTTAAATACACTGAACAAAAATATAAACGCAACACTTTTGTTACTGCTCCCATTCCCCATGGGATGGACGTAGAGACCTAAAATTCATTCCAGATACACAATATAACCATCCCTCCCAAACAGTGGTCACAAATCAGTCCAAATGTGTGGTAGTGGGCACATCTGCTATATTGAGATAATCCATCCCACCTCACAGGTGTGCCACATCAGGATGCTGATCTGACATCATGAGTAGCGCACAGGTGTACCTCAGACTGCCCACAACAAAAGGCCACCCTGGAATGTGCAGTTTTGTCTCACAGCAAAATGCCACAGATGCCACAAGCAATGAGGGAGCGTGCAATTGGCATGCTGACAGCAGGAATGTCAACCAGATCTGTCGCCCGTGCATTGAATGTTCATTTCTCAACCATAAGTCGTCTCCACAGGCGTTTCAGAGAATATGGCAGCACATCCAACCGGCCTCACAACCGCAGACCTCGTGTAACCACACCAGCCCAGGACCTCCACATCCAGCAGGTTCACCTCCAAGATTGTCTGAGACCAGCCACCCAGACAGCTGCTGGAACAATTGGTTTGCACAACCAAACAATTTCTGCACAAACTGTCAGAAACCGTCTCAGGGACGCTCAACTGCATGCCCGTCGTCCTCATCGGGGTCTTGACCTGATTCCAGCTCGTCGCCGTAACAGACTTGTGTGGGCAAATGCTCACATTCGATGGCGTCTGGCACGTTGGAGAGGTGTGCGCTTCACGGATGAATCATGGTTCACATTGTTCAGGGCAGATGGCAGCTGAGAATGTCCCAGTTCTTGCATGGCCAGCATACTCACCGGACATGTCACCCATTGAGCATGTTCGGGATGTGCTTGACCGGCGTATACGACAGCGTGTACCAGTTCCCACGAATATCCAACAACCTCGCACAGCCATTGAAGTGGAGTGGACCAACATTCCACAGGCCACAATTGACAATCTGATAGACTCCATGCGACGATGTGTTGCACTGCATGAGGCAAATGGTGGTCACACCAGATACTGACCGGTTCTGGGTCCCCAGACCCCCAATAGTGCAAAAAACTGCACATTCCAGGGTGGCCTTTTGTTGTGGGCAGTCTGAGGTACACCTGTGCACTACTCATGATGTCAGATCAGCATCCTGATGTGGCACACCTGTGAGGTGGGATGGATTATCTCAATATGGCAGATGTGCCCACTACCACACATTTGGACTGATTTGTGACCACTGTTTGGGAGGGATGGTTATATTGTGTATCTGGAATGAATTTTAGGTCTCTACGTCCATCCCATGGGGAATGGGAGCAGTAACAAAGGTGTTGCGTTTATATTTTTGTTCAGTGTAGAAAGTTCAAAGAGATGCAAGTGGAAGAAGCGTCATTGGACTGAAAAACCCGAATAAACAAAAACACCTTCAGGATCAGCCAAAGCTTACACTGTGCACTTCAGTCACTTCCCCTTTCATTTAAAACCCTCTGTGATAATGTACATTTAAAAATTACCAAAAAAAAATTAAACTATGTATCAATGTGTTTTAAAAACTAATTTAGTGAACCTTAAGAATGAAAACCTGGAAATGCAGATTAAAGAAAAACAGTATAAAGGTGCTGTTTGACATTAGAGCATTTATTTCAGTTTTTCTCTTTGTTAATACAAAATACTGAACAATGCCACGTCCCTCGCCCATCTGAGTCAAGTACTGAAACTCCCTTTTTTTGGAAAATGAAGCCTACCAATATTATGAGGAACCAAAAATACAAGGGAAAAAAAAAGTCTACCTTACTACTACAATATGAATTTCTATACATTTATAAAATCAGTTATTTGCAATGATTTTCAATTCTTTATTCTTCACTTTTTAAGTACACTTACAATCAAAATTATGAAATGCACGCACACACACACGCACACACACATACATATATCCTGTGTTTTTGGTGTCAACATGTAGTTGCATATGTATGAACATGTATTTTTTTTTATGTTTTCTTCACTCATTTGTCTGTTTTACAGTCAATACAAGAGCACAGCAAGTATCCTGCACTATTTAAAACCATTTTTTTGTTTTGTTTTTTGTTTTGTTTACAGTAAATTTGGTTACCGTTCACTTGATTAACAAAAATGTCAAAATATTATTCCAGCATTGTGAAAAAAAAAAAGGGGGTAGTTTTATTATTTATTATTAAGGTAAACAGTTATATGAGACAATTTGCAACAACAAGTGCAGGTTCTTCATTTCTAAGGCAAAGAAAGGTTTTGTTTTTTTTTAGGCCTTGCCACACTACAATTTTCACTGTCATACTTCCCACTAGGCCTTGGTAAAGAAAAATAACCTAATTATAAACGTGATAGTGTGAAAGGTCATCTTTTTTTAAAGCACACTGCACAGTGGCCCTGTTGTAAAGTGATGGAAGAGCAGATAAGCAGTCATACATACGAGCACGCTACAACTTTCACTTCATTACGTTAAGACACTAAATCAGAGATTAACAAAAGAAAACTTGCTAATGTCTTGAAGGCCACCAGTTGACAGTTTAATGAAAATTACTTTTAATCATACCTGTATATAAATGTATATATTAATCAGGTTTTATCCCCCCCCCTTATTTTTTTTCTAGAGTTATTACCAAAGCAGATAATGCTATGGGTGACAACAGGAAAAACAAGAAACAAAAAATAAAACCCGAATCACCTCAATCAAACACTCTTGATCTGAAAAGACTGAGCAAACTTGATTTGGAAGCACTGCTCGTTTCACATCCTCCCACTCATGCTCAGCGGGACAAAAGAAAAAACAAACAAAAAAAAAAAACTCAAAAAAAAAACAAAACACAAAAGCACCCAAACAGCAAAGAAATTTTCATTCCAGTCCTCTCAGATATGTGACAGCAACGATGGGGAAACCAAATATGGGACGAGGGAGAGAAAACCCTGCTCTCCCTGTGGATCAGACAGCAGTGACCGTCCTGGAGATCTCTTAGAACAGAGAGCAACTGGAGGGGAGCAGCCGTCAGAGAAGGGGAACAGCAGGCCTTTGATGGTGTCTCTTCACGGCACTTTGCAGTCAATGCCAAGATCAAAAGATGTTGGGACAGCTCTCCCAGCTCCCGCGCTCCTTAGCTTCCCAGTAGCCTCCCTTATAGATGTGAATCTCCTCACCTGTGATTGGGTCCTCGCAGCGCTCGAACCAAAGTGCAAGATAGCTGTCATGAGGTGCGCCTGAAAGAGAGGGAAGGACAGAGGGGGGGAAAAAAAAAAAAAAAAAAAAAAAAGATCCCCAGAAAGTTAATGAGCTGCTCACTAGAGCAACATGAATTTAAACATGAAATGGAGACAGTTTAATCGATTTTTATCTAAAAAAGAAAAGAAAAGAAAGAAAAAAAAAAAAAGGAATACTTGCCTTTCAAGGAGGGATCGGTAACAGAGTCCTCATCGACAGCTTTGGAAGACAAAAGGGGATCACAGAGAATCGTTTTACCCCTTTGTTCCATGATTTTCCCCATGCAGAGAGGAGAGGAGTAAAGAAAAAGTGAAGCACAAACAAGTTCGATTCTAACCTTCTTCTGATTGACTCGAGGTGCGTTGGCTTGCGGCCTCCCTCTCTCTCTCACGGCGGGCGGTGCGCTGCTTCTCCTCCAGCCGCTGCTTCTCAGCATTGGCCTCGTCCCAGCGACCTTCCTCCATTAAGCGCTGGTCAGGCCGCCGTCGGCTGTCTGTGGGAGCCACGCCCTCTTCAGGCTCGTTCAGGGTCAAGGCCAAGGCAGTAAAGTAGTACATGGTTTCTGCTCCATCGCTGAGGAGGATGACGGAGCACAGCACAGCA